GAATAGAATAAACAGAATAAAAGGTGAAACTTTCCCTGAGATGATATTGCTTTGTGATGCCGAGTCTTGCAATATTTGGTGTTTTTATTAAAGCCCCAGATCCCAGAGTCGTGGCATTAGATGAGAATCTGAGCTTTCATTTAAAAAAAAAAAAAAAAGTTTCTAGGTTTGAATGGTTGCACAACAGGAGTAAAATATGGCCTGACCCCACCTCTCGAGTACAGAGATGAATATGAGTCTAAAATAAAGGAATAAGTGTCAGGCAAGGAAAACAAGCCCCCTCCAGCTGACATTTACTGCAGTGAAAGAGCACTTTTGTGGGAGGGAGAGATTTGAAAATCCATTCTGACCTTAATGCCTTCCCATCTCCACACTGGTCTGTTATCACTGTCTCTTTGGCAATTCTCTGGCTAGTGGTGATAATGGCCAAGATTCATTGCTCCATGTTTTTTTCCTTCCTTTGTCTCTGCTTTCAGGCTCCACTTTGCAGTCCATTATCTGCTCCAACGATGCCCTCTTCTACTTTGTGTTCTTTTACCCCTTCCCCATCTTCGGCATCCTGATCATCACCATCCTACTGGTGCGATTCAAGAGCAGGAACTCCAGCAAGAACTCAGAGGGTAAAAATGGGGTCCCTTTGCTATGGATCAAAGAGCCGCACCTCAACTACTCTCCCACCTGCCTGGAGCCGCCCGTCCTCAGCATCCACCCGGGAACTATAGACTAAAGGGGAGAGGCTGAGACCGACCCACAGAGAGAGAGACAGAGGCAAAGACACACCTGGAACCCAAAGGAATGGAGAGGTTTTGATGTTCTTGTTTAGTTTGTTTCAGCATCTGTTCTTCGACTCCACGACTGAGCCCTTCAGAGTTCCCCAACTCTGGGATTGGAGGGTCCGAGTCTTCCTCAAGCACCTGTGATAACAAAACTAGTCCAGAGATGGACGGACAGTCCACGTGCTTGCTGTACATAGTGGATTTTCCTCTTGGGTTCATTGTGTTCTCATCAGTAGTTGTCCTTTGGACTGTGCTTTTGTTACCCAACGACTGTCGTCTTCCCCTCCCCGTCGCACCATGAGCAGTTTCATTCGGCGCTCTGGTCCGGGTGTTCTGGGGCTCTTTTTGGAGTAAAAGTATTCATTTCTTGACATCAGTTTTGTTTGTCCCTCCTTGGACTTCATGTTGTAATGAACAAAATCTTTCCCCAAGGTGAACTGAGCCAGCTGCTCACTATTCTGAAGTGAACAGGACCAGAACTGCGCTTTGAGGGCAGCTGGGTTTCGGCGAGGTCCGTCTCGAAGATGAGACTAGTTCAGCCACTTCTGCATCCCAAACGTTTCTCCTTTCTTTGAGGATTTAGCATGTATGCAGGGCTTCATTTGGGAGGTGTCGTCTTGTCCTTGGACAGGATTGGACGCTCGGGCCACTTGCAGTCAGGACTAAAGCAGCCTGGTTTGGTCCAAAGGACTGTGTGTGCCTGGGGCCATGGGACACTCTGGCCCTGCCACTAGCAAGGAGAAGACTCCCCAGAAAGCCCAGCTTACCAGGGACAAAAGTCTTCCCCCACCTGGTTTTACTAAACCGCGCTGCCATTCTCTCAGAGGTGGCAGGGTTGAGGCTGGGCTGCCTGCGTGCTCCAGTCACGTGGGGCCAGACGGCTGGATCCAACCTCGTCAGCTTGACCAAAGTAATGACTTTAGGAAGCGGGGGAGAGGGAGGCTCCATTGACTGGGATTCATTATATTTGAATTATTCTGCAAGGGTGGTATGTTACAGCCACACACTGGGCAATGGGAGTGTGGAATTAATGACCAGGTTTCATGTTGTTTCCAAGGACTTGCACTAATTACCAATGTGAGTTGAAACCAGGCAAGGAGGCTGCTGGAGGGATTTGCTCCCCGGGTGCTACTATGCCCTCTGGAAAGAAACCAAGCCTCTCTCCCTTCTCTTGTGTGTTTTTGTGCCATTTTCTGTTGTTTTGGCTTTATTTCTCTAGGAGAACAACCCTTTTCCCCGCAACCCCCCAAAGTCACCTGATCTTTATTGTAACCAAGTGCTGGGGCAGTAAGTGCTGTTCTTTCCGTGAAAGATACAGCGGTTAAAAACCAAATGGGGGCTCTGTATAATTGGAGGACCCGAATTCCACTACCCAGTAAGCCAAGTACCCCAGCACATCTGGTGTAGGAAACTGCCTCCTCTGACACGTCCTTGGTGTATGTCGGGTGGAAGGGGTGGAACAATGGCCTAAAATGGCCTTTCAGTGTCTTCCTTGATGTCTTCCTGGAAAACCTGGCCGTTGTTTGTCTTTTGTGGAGTGTCTAAATCCAAGTGGGGATATACCACACACCCTCTTTCCCCATCCCCATGTGTCTGTGAGGGGCCATTCCCGCAGCCACTGCCCTCTCCAAGCCAATAGGACTATCCTTCCTCAAGAGAGAAGGAGCTGGCGGGTCCATGATAGAGCAGCCCTGCTCTGAGAACTCTGCGGGGCCAGTAGGTTAAACCATGATGCTCTGATGTTTCAGTGCAAGTGAAGAGCCCGCACAGAAATCTACACCATGTAGAATCTCTCCATAGATGGAGGAGAGGGGGTGTGTGTCTATACTACATACGTGTGCATAAAAGCCTCACTCCACTGGAGGGAGAGTCCACCTAACGTTAGTTTTAAGACATCCCTTTCCTTATGAGGAAGGAATTTGCTGTGTCTCCCTCCATCAAATAGTTACTGCTTAGCAGCCCCTCTGTATGTATAATATTGCTCTCTAATATACACTCAGACACTCCTCCCCCTTGGATATCTGGAGGGTCTGCTCAGAAGGGAGGATTGAAAAGCGAATGGAAATGAAGAACCAACCAAAAAAAACCAACCAAACAGCAGCCCCAAAGCCAGTGGGTATTGTTTTATAAATGTAAAATCTCCTGTACATACTGCTTCAGGGCAGGAAGTGCAACTCATTTCAGTTTTAAAAGGAAAAAAAGACATCAACAGGAGCCTTTCCTGCCCTAAGAGAACATTGCTGCTCAGCTGTGCACTGGAAATCTGCTGTATTGACCCAGTAGCCTCTACATCTCTCTCCATCCTTTCTGACTAGCATTGCTTCCCTCTTTCCATGGAAAGCTGTTCCACAGTGCCCTCCAGTGGCCAGAAACATTCCCTTCCACGGCTTGTCTCTCTTAAGCAGGTGCATTCCTGAGGGCCATTAGATGGGATTTCCCTCTAAGCAGCGTTTGTGGTTACACAAGTTTACCTGGAATATGACTTATCAGTTGTGCTGGCAACATATTGCCCAGTCTCACTTTTTTTTTTATAAACTAGACTCTTCCTGCAACAACTTTTATCATGAAGTTTTTCAAACAACTTTTTCTCTGCTTTAACTTTCTGTAATGAGCCAAGAAGCAAAGAGAAAAACCTGTCCATGCATGATGTGGAAAACTGTTTGGGATTTTTTTTTAAAAGAGCTTTGTACTATGTTGCACTAAACATGTTTTATACAACACACCTGAGAGCTGTAGTAAACTGTGTTGAAATCGTGATGAATGTTTGTTGCTGGTTTTGTGTGATATGGGTTTTCAATGTGCTTTATTTTCTCATGCATGCACACATACTCATGCACTGCTAGCCAAGAGGGAGCTTCCGAATGGCATCTGAGCTGTGTCAAATCGAGATGTAATCAGGCCTTTGGATTCTAACCATGCGCTTGGCAGTTTTGGTGAGGAAAGTATATAATAAGCAACCAGGAGGGTGGCAGCTATAATGGGGTCAGAGGAAAGGCTAATGTTGACTTCTGAGAACTTTCTAGAGCTGCTCATTTCTAGGTGAATTCTGGCTTTAGGTTTTCTGCTGACAGCTATGCTCTCATGCTGGGTCCCAGGGCGCACAGCCCCTGTGATATGGCAGGATAACTTGCCCTGGCTTGCTCAGAGAGCTGGCTAATACAGAAGTTGCCTTAGAACACACTCCTACAGATCCCATCAAAGTTCAAAACAGGAAGGAGCCGGCCCTTTCTTTGGCCTTGTGTTCCTGTGTGCAATCCATTTGTGTGCAATCCGGAAAGAACATGGGTGGCACCTCAGTACTAAAACCATTTTTATTGACAGTGCAAGAATCTGGCCAACCTTTTGTAAAACTGCCTTGTCAGCACCTCCATTCTGTGGCTGGTGAAACTGAAGCACCCATTTAAGGATCACATTTTCAGGAGTTTGCACAAATACAAATTCCTCTTCCCTCTGCCCACCACATTTCCCTAAATGGACCCAAGCAGGAGAGGGGAGTGCATGGAATGTTCTAAAACAGGGACTGAGTAGCTGCAGAAGGATGGCCATGCACAGGTGGGCGGGTGTATGCGCAGGGCCACGGGGATAGATCCCCATGGGTTGGGTCTCCCACTACAGCTCAAAATAGGTGGCAACTGAAGTGCAGGGGGAGTGGTCTGTGGGATAAACAGCAATGCTGACTGTGTAGCAGAGAACCATGTGGGAGTTCTATGCTGGGCAGTACCCAGACTGCACAATGTGGCCTAGAGACCTGCTTACTTCTGGAACACCGTGGATGTGCCCAACGAGATCTACACTGAGGTCCTGGTGCAGCTGCTTTCCCCTAAAACACTCAGGACTAGAGCAGTTTTTTTAATTAAAAAAAAAGGGGGGGGGTTGTCAGAAATGTCTGTGACCAAAATGACTTCTGCCACACACAAAACAAATAAATAAATAAAATAAATAAATTCATGTTGGTTGAGATGTTTTGGTTTTCAACTAAGCTTTTTAAATTTCATTTTGTTGGCAGAAACACCCATTTTCTTTCACTTTGTTTTTTACACTGAGACAAAGTGGGGTTTTGGTTGGGAGGTTAGAATGTAACAAAACTTACATTTTTTGGTATAAAACAAAACAAAAAACCACAAGTTTTAACAAAACTTTTTATTTCTTAAAAAATGGTCATGAAATACTAGCTTTTTCCAGCCAGTCCTACTCATATCTCCTGAGGTTCTTTGGCAGGGGGAGTTGGGGGGGGGACGACACTGAGGTCCAGGTTGCCTAGCTGCTGAATGTATGCTTTCCACATGTGCATGTGTTTAACTCCTGCCCACCATATAACTGGGATAAAGCGTCTCTCAGAAGACAGAGGCCTCCCCCATACATCCCTGGCTTATGACTTCTCTTTTCCCAGTGATAGTAGCCCCTTGCTGTCTTTTGGGATGGGGAGGCTAAGGGTAAATTATTTTGATGACTAAATGCAAACACAAAACTACAAGGCTTCTGGATCCACGGACCAAGTCCACCACTAAAGTTTTCCTCAGCAGTTCCCTTGACAAGGAGTCTGGAGAGGAGGGAATATGTACTAAGGTACGTTGCTCTTGTGGTACTAGTTTAGGCTTGTTTTACAGATTTGGGGGCAGGAAACAGTTTTCCAAGTCTGAATTTGATAAATGGGCAGATGCCTCCTTCCATGACTGCTATAGCAATGGGAGCCCGGACTTGTGCAGAAATACGTTCTGGAGGGGGCGGGGGGAAACATTCACACTATCCTTACAAAAACAAACCACTTCAGCACAGTTAACAAACAATGTTGTGTGGCCTTCACTTTCCTAACAGTATCTGTCCATCTTCTCCTTGCCTTTACCTTTGTCCTTTTAGGCACAGGGGTCCTGTCTCCTCAATGCAAGCACAAAAGCTCTTAGCGTTACATTGCAGCGCTTTGAGGGAAGAATAAATATACCCTCAGTGACCTGAGCACTAAGTTTGGTCAGGGATGCATACAACTCATTCTTTCTCTCTCGTGAGAACGAAGGACAAAATGGAACACCAATAAACAGTTTCAGATGAGAAATATGTGCTTTATCTTCCATTTGCCAAAGATTTGCTTTTATTTAATTATAGACAGAGCACTTAAAAACCAGAGGTCACCCCAGGCAAAAGTACAGAACTGCAAGTCTCTTTTCCCTCTCATTTGGAAACTCGTTCATACGCTTCCAGCATTTCCTTGATATCTGCTGCAAATTCATCAAAAGGCACAATGGCGAACCTCTGACATGGTGAAGCAGCAGCTATCTTCTATTCATTTGCAAATCTAGACTGTTTCACATAGAGCAGAATTGTTCTGCATTATCAGATTACATTTTGTAATAATTTTATTCTTTTGTAAAGGATCTTAAATAGGATAAATGATGATCAGCTTGAAAGCTGCCATCTTGGGAGTAAGACACACAGAATTCAGCTGTTTGCACAGAAAAGCAAGAAACTTTCAAAGGTGTTAGCAGTTACATAAAATTTTGAGAAAAGAACATCTTTCAACAGCTCTAAAGGTCTCAACTCTTAATTGGGATATGGAAGCAAGCGGCATTTCCTATTTCTAATTCTTCATAATGAGATCCAGTTTGATGAAGTAAGGTGCAAATTCTGTCCCTAATGTTAGAATTACCCTAAGTGAATGGTAAGACTGTATGTGGATTTAACTTCCCCCTTAACGGCAGTAGGCAAGAGATAATGACATTTTTATTTAATCATAACAAAAGGTCTTGAAATTCTGCAATTGGTTAGAGACGCTGTGAAATTAGGTTTTAAACAAATGCCAAATGACCATTCTTAAAGCAGAAAAATGCATTTCCCCACACTAAAGATGTGAAAATCCACCCTCGGGCTTCGCACTAATTGGTCCCTTAGGACCAAGGGTTGAATGGGCCCTAGAGACTATTCCCCTCTCAGCTGTCGAGGTGCTCACTACGTGTCTGGGGTGAGTGCACTGGGATGTGAGAGAAGGGAAGGCTGGCACTAGCACTCTGTGCTGGTTCTGTTCTGTGGAGGAATATAAAATTTCACTCAAACGCAACCCAGTACCAAATTCTTTTACTGTTACTGACAAAATCCAAACCTGGCTGACCATGCGTTGCTCTTTGGTGCTTCTGAGATTGCATTTCTGCTAGCAGTGGCAAAAAAAAAAAAAAAAAGAGTGAACACAGCTGCTATGCCAGATTTCCCCCTCACACTTTCATCCTTAATCCTGTTATTCTAGTACTAGGCAGTGGCTAGACAGACTGCTGAAGCACAAGCATTGCCTGGGTGGATCAGGAGCTGCAGGTAGATGGGTCGTAAAGTACAGTCCAAGATCAATCTAACCCTCCCCTCGCCCCGCAAGCTATACAGGGACCTTTGTAAAGTTTAGTTTTGTCTTGTGAACTCTAGAACCACCTCTCTGCTTGGACTAGCCCTCTGGCTGGCTGACCTCATACAGGGCCTTAGCTATTTTCTCCAGCCTCTCTCTGTATTCCAGTTCTCTATAGAGGGATACATTGACTCCTTTAAAGCCATACATGGCCCCCCACCAGCACGCGGCAATGGCTGCTGTAGAATCGGAGTCCCCACCATGGAAAAAAGCCCGGTGAGCGAGCTCCGTCCAGGAGTTTCCAGCGCCAAGTATGGCATCGTAGGCAATCATTGGGGCATCATGCCCACTACTGCCGCCCCAGCCAGAGAAGCTCAGGGAGACATAGAATTCATCTCGCTCCTTCACGCCATATATGGGGGGGAAGGTAGGAACAGACACTCCATCTGAAATTCCCCTGGACTCCAGGTATCTTTTCCACTGTTCTTCAAAGTAGGACCTACAAAACAGGAGAGAAAAGTAAGCAAAAGTCCCAGAGCAGCAGTAGGCAGCATTTCTGTTTAAACAGATGGACACCACAGCTGTCAGCAAAAAACATGAGAGAGCGAACTCAGCCCACCTGCTAAACCAAACAGCAAACCTCTCCTGTCTAATTCGAGACATTAGCGGCACCACACAAAGGCTATGAGAGGATGAGAATCACAAAGGGAGGAACACTTAAGCGTTTGACTCTTCCCTCCAGGAGAGGGCAGTAGAGCACCGACTGGGATAAATAACCCATTGCATTGCAAGAGATTCAAAGTGACAGAAAATAAGTAGAGAGAACCAAAATCCTGCATTCAGATCATCTCCACAAACTATGTGTGTGAATGGATTCAGAGTCCAAACCAGGATCCAGATCAGAATATTTTAGCTGCCCGCCCTCTGCCCCAAGCCCTAATGTGCTGGGGGAAACATCTGAAACTCGGGGGGGCTTTCAAAACGTGTATCTGACCTTCTCACCTCAGCCCCAGCTCTAAAAATAAATTTGCCTGCTGCCTCGGGACTGCTTTCTTCCAAGCTGAGATAACCTATTAGTGATGGAAGATAGAGCTCGACGCCTCCCCGTTTTCCCCTTTCTGAATTACTGATGAGCCAATCCTGATTACTGTCAATTTGGAATTTGCCAAACAGTTTACACAACCAAATTTCAGCCTATGGTTTGTTTGAAGTGTCCACTAGAGAATTTATTGGTGGTGTGTGATTGGCCACAGAAGTAGTCCTGGTATCTCTGCCCCATAGTTGGATGACAAATATTACAGGAAATTTCTGAATAACGAATAATCATTGGTGTTAAAAATTGTGTGCAACTCTTGAAAATTTCACGTTTTTTCACAAATGGTTGTCAGCCATCTGAATACTTCACAAAGAATAGTGAACCAAACGTGCTGTTTCTTCGTCACAAATATTCACAAATCACTTTAGTATTCACTGAGTTGTTGTTGAAGATCATGATCAACTGGTGTAAATCTGCATCGCTCCAGCTGAGGAACTGACCCCAAGTGTTGGTTTTTAAGCTAACTAGGACTATGTGAACTAGCTTGGATAAAGTTAAAATCCCCTTCTTCTTCCCAAAGCCACCTCTTTTTTAGAAAGAACCTTGTTAGATTCTGAAAAGCATGAATAATTCCCTCCCTCTCTGTTTCAATCACCTCTGCACTCCCTAGCTCTGTCTGACATCAGCGGTACAGTTTGAACAGAGAGGCTGTTCTGCATGATATCCAGTGGATAGCTCATGGAGAAGCATGGTCTCTCGTAAGATTTTCAGATTCTAGGTTTGGTTTTAGCAAAGAAACATCAGAACCCTTGAGTGCTTGTCTGAGTTGAGCTCGGCTCTGATCTATTTAAGGTTCTCCACAGCCCCAATCTCTAGTCATTCAGGCTCTAGGGAGGAAGGATGGTCTTGTAGCTGAGATGCAGGGAGCTGGGTTCTCTCTTTGGCCCCATTAGAGAACTGAAGTGTAATGGAGGACAAGTTGCTTAATCCCCTCTTTCTCTATCTGTAAAGTCATATATTCATAGCGTTTAAGGCCAGAAGCGACCACCAAATCATCTAGCCTGATCTGTATCTCATAGGCCCCCAGCACCTACACACTAACACTAGGGACAGCAATACTTCCCTCCCTCACAGAGGGATTTAGAAAAGTTAGTTCGTTAGGGTGTGTAAAGCACTTTCATAACCTTCCAACAAGACTGCAGGGAGGCCTGAACATGCAGGAGTGGGCAATGCAGAGGAAAGCTGTGGGATGGGGTAGAAACCTTTCCTATCCTAGGGCCTGATTCTCATTGACACAAAGGCAGTGTAAAAGGGCCATGAAGTGAACCCTCCTTGTTGGGATCCATGAAACGGACTCCTTTCAAAAAACGGTGTTGAGACCCCCATGGCTGAGGTTGCTGAATGCCTTGCATTTGATAGTCTGGAGAGACTGGTAACCAACCATTTGGGGGCCTACAAATTCCAGTCATCTCACCAGCAGAACCCAGCCTGGCTCACCAGTGCTTCAGGTTCTCCTTCACAAAGTAGCCAGACTTCTGGATGTAGACTTTAGCCTGCGGCAGCACTTCCATCAATCCCTTCCCCCATTCGTGAGGGGGCTTGCGATTCACAGCATAGGCGGTAAAGAGAGCAGAAGCCAGGGATCCCAGATAGCCAGTTGGATGATGATGGGTCATTCGACCGCTCTCGATGCTGACTTGAATCAAGCTGTCCAACTGCTCAGGATGACAAAACCTCAGCCCAATGCACATGGACCGCATGGCAGCCCCGCATCCTCCCTCATGCTTGTTAAATGGAATCCTCCAGCCATCTGGTTGGTCTGGCTGCAGGCCCAGTGCGTTTTGAACGCAGGTAGTACCTGTGCAGGAAGGAAACAGACTAATAAAGGGAAGCCTTGATCAATAGGCCAGAATGTTCATTTAGAATGAGGAATGGTGAAGGCCAGAGAATAGGCAGGGAAGGGAAGGAGCTTTCCTATATACCTTTCCTAATTTCATATCAAAACCTAATTTGCCTTGCTTACCTATGTCTCTCGACTTCCCTTGACTTCAACTGCTGAAATAACTTGTATAATCCCAAACCAAACTCACTGACAACACTAACCTTAATTTATAAAAAAGTATGAAAAAGCTTCAGAAACCCCCATTAGAGAGAGAGAGAGAGAGTGTGTGTGTGTGTGTGTGTGAAATATATAAGACAGCATCAAAGTCTCAGTCCTTGTCAAGGCCAACAAAATAAAACAAGTTTGGCATTTCCAGGCCAAATTTAGTGTGTGAAAGCAAATAACTAATTTTAAAAAGTTAAACAATCTTTTTGATTTCCCCACCACCCCCAGACTCTGTCTCTCAACAGATTTTGTCAGACAACTCCTAAAAACTTCTCTGGCAAAATATTTCAAATACACCTCTACCCCGATATAACGCGACCCGATATAACATGAATTTGGATATAACGCGGTAAAGCAGCGCTCCAGGGGGGCGGGGCTGCGCACTCCGGCGGATCAAAGCAAGTTTGATATAACGCGGTTTCACCTGTAACGCGGTAAGATTTTTTGGCTCCCAAAGGACAGCGTTATATCAAGGTAGAGGTGTAGCTTGATGAAAGTTTTGAACATGTAAGTTAAGGGTAAAAAATCAGTCTTGTAACAGAAAGCTAGCTACAGCTGTAACTACAGAGAGACTCTCTCTTAACCACCTAGGACAGTGGCAAAAATTGTCAATGTGCCTAAAGTAAGGTACGTCAGTCCATACTTTGTTACCTAAGCAGAGATGGGCTAATTTTCAAAGCTGCTAAGCACCTGCAGTTTCCTTCGGCTCACCTGGAGTCATGAGTGTTCATCAGTTTAGGTCCAAAGCATATTTATAGCCTAACAACTGCAAAGTTTCCATGAATTGTATAAATCATCAGTGGTAAATTTCATGTCTCCATTTACTCATTCCACCAACATCCATATATTCCCCATGAATGTTTGCAACCCAAACTTTGCAGCATCGTACTAGTGTGGGAAAATTAGAACGTAAAACAGGCTAAACTCTGATTGCTGTACTTTATTGTCCTGCTGTCACAGCAGAACTAGTAAAAGGGATTTAGATTTTAATAAACTAAGGTGTTACCGGTAAAGATCATTGTGGTTTTAAAAAATATTTGATGTGGCTTATCTCTTTTCTTGTACTTAATTTCATATCACATCTGTGTAAATTTTGTAGCCTTAACGGTGCATAGTTATTTTTGTGTATATGTGTATGCACAAGATGTATACTGCAGACCAAAAACTACAGTAGAACCTCTGAGTTACGAACACTATGGGAATGGAGGTTGTTCGTAACTCTGAACAAAACGTTAGGGTTGTTCTTTCAAAAGTTTACAACTGAACATTGACTTAACACAACTTTGAAACTTTACTGTGCAGGAGAGAAATGTTGCGTTCCCTTAATTCTTTAGTAGTTTACATTTAACACAGTACTGTACTGTATTAGCTTTTTTTCCCCTGCTGCTGTCTGATTGTGCGCTTCCGGTTCCAAATCAGGTGTGTGATTGACTGGTGAGTTCGTAACTCTGAGTTTCTACTGTATGTTAAAAGAATGTTAAGGATCCAAAGCCAAGTACTGAAAAGTTAGGAAATGCCAGAATTAAGGTTGCCCATGAAACCTTAATTTGGCCCCCTTGTGCATATAGAATATCATACTATCTTTAATTACATGGTCACTACAGCTGCCTGGACATTGGAATTCCACAGGACATTCCCAAAACAACCAACCAACCAACAAAACCCTCTACTAGTTCTGTATCAGAATGAAAAGCTGAAATTTCCCATGGAACAGAAACAGGGCCGCCCGGGGGGGGGGGGAGGTGGGGGGCGCAAGTGGGGCAATTTGCCCCAGGCCCTGGGCCCCACAGGGGCCCCGCAAGTCCTGGCCGAGAATCCCTTTCCTGGCTAGAGGCGCCTTTTTAATTTTTACTCACCCGGCAGTGGTCTGGGTCTTCAGTGGCACTTCGGCGGCGGGGGGCCCTTCAGTCGCTCCGGGTCTTCGGCGGCATTTCGGCAGCGGGTCCTTCAGTGCTGCAGAAGACGCGGAGCGAGTGAAGGACCCGCCACCGCCGCCGCAGACTCGGAGCACTGCCCGGTGAGCAGAAGCGCCCCCCACTTTGCCCCAGGTCCCCTGAATCCTCTGGGCGGCCCTGAACAGAAATTCCAAAAATTTCACTGATAATGTTGAAATATTTTATTTTGATTGTATTACTTATATATCCAGTCAATTTAGCTAGCCAGTTTTTTCCCCAGCCCTGAGCAGTTTGTTCCAATCTACTTCCTCCATTGTCCCTCCCCAATCCAGCTCGTGTCCACTCTGCATTTGGATCAGGCTGCTTCTCCTCCACACTGCCAGGGTGCCAGCAGGGCGGAGGTGGGGAGGCACTGAGAGCACAGGACAAAAAGGCTTCCTGCTCTCAGGTCTGGTGCCAGGCCCTATAGTGGCCCCCCAGCAGGGACAGTCGCATCCTGTTTAGCCCCTTCCACCCTGGGCTGGAGCATGCTCGGTGCAGATAGAATCTTCAGGGAATTTAGCTGCCAAACGCTACAGTGTCTTTACTGAGCATATGTAAAAGTGAGATTTTTTTTCCCCCCAAAGGCTTATAAGTGGGCCATGTGTGGGCATATTTTTCACAGGAATTGCAAAGGCACATTCCTGACATAAAGGTCACCTCCCTGCCAAATTTCAAGTCCCAGATCCAAACATGCAGGTGCTAGAACTTCTCAAAGAAACTGTTGTAGGAATATTAGCAAAACAATGTCTTTTTCCCAATCTTGTTCTTGGAAATGGCAGAACCGTTTTATTTGGAACTTTCCAGAAAAATCAGTCCGATGCAGACCACTCACATGTAAAATTTCAGCCTGAACACTTAGTTTGGTAAAGTTATAAGCAACTAAAAACAGGGGCACTCTCTGGCAGCCTTAACTAAAGAGGGAACGAGAGAGAGAAAATTAGACAAAGGAAGGAAACATTGTTTTGTATGGTACAGATACAATTTCAGAAGGATTACCTGGAGCTCTGCCATCCATGTCATCCATACAGTCCTTGTAGTGCTTTGCTATAAGGGAATAGAGCTCTGGAAAACTTGGTTGTTTCCCAGCAGCTACCAGAGCTTCAGCTGTAGCCAAGTGCATCACTGTGTCATCGCTGACTTTCCAGCCTGCTATACAGATGTTTCCCAACCCCCCCATTTGTGCAAGCTGCCTGTGAATCTCCTGGCCATTCTGCAGGAACTCCCATTTTCTATTGTAATAGCCCAGGGTATCACCAACTGCGCTCAGCACCATGGCTGCCACGTAGTTCTCAATCAGACCTGAACTCATGCTGTGCCTCAGGGTGGCTCCACTTCCCATGGACTCTGAAAAGAAAACAAGTATCATTAGCTTGGTAGGGGGCTTCATTGTGTATCTGGTTAAGCAAGAGCCACTCTCATAAAGTCTTAAGAGCTGGAGCGTTCAGCCTTTCTGCACCCATTGGGCAATTTAACTTGCACAAATAGCTCTGAAATGCAGTATTTGCACACTTTGCCTCACAATCCGTATGGTTAGTTTAGCTTCTCAGTAGGGAATGGCCTGTGGGTGTTCTACTGGGAAACATATAAATTCAAACCCTATTCTGAACCAAGAGTAGATCCCACACCAGCCTTCCATCAGCTTTAGGCCTTGGCCTAAACCAGGGGTAGGCAACCTATGGCACATGTGCCAAAGGCGGCACGCAAGCTGATTTTCAGTGGCACTCACACTGCCCGGGTCCTGGCCACCGGTCCGGGGGGCTCTGCATTTTAATTTAATTTTAAATGAAGCTTCTTAAACATTTTAAAAACCTTATTTACTTTACATACAACAATAGTTTAGTTATATATTATAGACTTATAGAAAGAGACCTTCTAATCACATTAAAATGTATTACTGGCACGTGAAACCTTAAATTAGAGTGAATAAATGAAGACTCGGCACACCACTTCTGAAAGGTTGCCGACCCCTGAGCTATATCATGTTTCTCTCAGGATCTGACAAAGTACACATTCCTCTTCCCAACTACATTCAGCTGCTGCCATCCTGGCCAGGTAAATTACAGATGCAATTGAGAATAAAGTTATTTGTAAGTATTAAAATTTAGATTTTTTTTTTAAGTGTGTTCCATATAACACCCTCAGCTTGGTTGATTAGTTGGTTTTGTATTAAATCTGTACTTAAATAAAGCTAACCCAACATTTCTTTATTCAAAAACCAGCCAACATATATCCCTCTGAAGGATTTGCCACCTTGTTATAGTAGCATTTTGATAAATGCTTAAGAGCCTGAACATGAAATTGTTTGGTCTATTTTCATTGAGAAAAATGAACAAAGAAAACCATATCAAAAGTGAAAGGTTAACTTATTAATCAATTGCTATAGATTAAGAAAGTGATTTAAAACAAAAACGAAGTCCAGTTGCACTCTGAAGAGTAACTATAGTGGTCCAGCAGCGCCCCAGAGTTAAGATTATATTACAACTTCCATTTAAAGATCAACATTTCTAAGTCTTCTAAAATTGACATGCTTAGTAGGAGTCCTTTGAAATTTGGTGTGCCTCAAGAGAGTGCAGGGTAGGGGCTATGAAGACTTAGGACCTGAAAAAATACCCATTTTTCAAAAAGTTTCTATCTGCGGTTGGTTTTTGTGTTGTTGATGATGGGGGTTTTTTTGCACAGAGCTAGAGATAAAACTATTGATGTGAGGCGGTTCAAAACGGTCTCAATCTGTCTAGTTTTACCCAAGATAGTGGTGACACCCACTAAATCTTTGGGGGATACGAACTGAGGATAGGATTTGAGAAAATGGACATTGTTTACAGTGCACACCTGCCAATACAGAAAAATGGCCAGAGGGTTTCCTTTCCTTCCGGTTTATAGGCTTTAAAGGCTGATGCTTGTAAGTGCTCTACAATCCAAACGGTTACTCAGATTGCTTTGAAATGTGGGGCATGGGCTAGTGTTAGTGATCCATACTTGGGGTCTTTTGACCAAGGGGTTGCCGAGTTACAGCCCTCCCCCTCTAAAACCGATTTCCTTCTGCCTTGTACTGTTCAACTGAGAGGTACTAATGATAGCTCAGTGGTTTGAGCCTTGGCCTGCTAAAGGGTTGTGAGTTCAATCCTTGATGGGGGATCTGGGGCAAAAATCTGTCTGGGGATTGGTCCTGCTTTGAGCAGGGGGTTGGACTAGATGACCTCCTGAGGTCCCTTCCAACCTTGATATTATATGAACATGAATCACAGATCTCACTGAGACCAAGAGCTGTGAATTCACCCTTCAATTAACATAACTAAGAGTAAGTTAATCATAAACCCCCACCTAAAACAAAAGGTTTGGACGGAGTGGCTACAATTTGAGAGTCGTGGGTAGCAGATTTTTTGGGGGGGAAGAGGAGGTGGAGTTGGTGTGGCAGTGCAACAGTGCCCCCTCCTGGCCAAGTGGGACTGGCACCGGATCACTCAGCTTAGCAGGACTCTGTCTGTCTATTCCTGGTGCCCAGGAATCTGAAAAACCCCTGTTCTCAAGGCCATCAGGGAGTTGGTAGGGAACCCAGCTCACCACTGCACTGGGTTCCAGCTCAGGGCCCTCAAGCTAGACAAGCAGGATCAGTGTTCATTGACTCAGGAAGGAGCTCAGGGCACTGTTAGGATATAAATATTCAGGCCTGTTTGCAAAGGCCTATACTTTAAGAATTTAGGGGTATTCTTATCACTTAGCTAGTTACAGGGGTATACAAGAAAGAATTAAAATTACTGTTTGCCGATGTAAGGGCCTTCTCGTACTGTGACAATCTGAGGCCCTGTTTTTAGGCTAAGCCTTTGGCTAAGCAGCAGAGGCCAGCCATAAGCTGGGAAGCAAACAGTCACATCCTCCCATTCCAGACTAGTCACATGGAAATAAGTCAATCTGGGGCTGTTAGGAATACATTCCTGTCCTGATATTCCTATCACCTCCAGAGAAACGGAAGAGCCTAGAAGATTAAAAGGAAACTTAGTTTGATTGAGTTCTTGCCAGACAGGATTCTCTTATCAATAACTGGGATGTGAAATCCTCATTTCTGTATTGTTTTATAACTGTAGTCTCCACTTCCCTATTGTTTGTCTGTATAATCTCTGTCTGGTTTTGTAATTGTTTTTGTCTGCTGTATAATTAATTTTGTTGGGTGTAAACCAATTAAGGTGGTGGGATATAATTGGTTAAATAATTATGTTACAATGTGTTAGGATTGGTTAGTTAAATTTTAGTAAAATGATTGGTTAAGGTATAGCTAAGCAAAACTAAGTTTTACTATATAGTCTGCAGTCAATCAGGAAGTAAGGAGGGGAATGGGAACAGGAAATGGGGGTGGGGTTATTGGAATCATGTTTCGCTAAGAGTGGGTGGAATGGGAACAGGGACACAGGCAAGGCTCTATGGTGTCAGAGTTGGGAAGGGGTACACTGAGGAAGGAAACTGGAATCATGCTTGCTGAAAGTTCACCCCAATAAACACTGAATTGTTTGCACCTTCGGACTTCGGGTATTGTTGCTCTCTGTTCATGCGAGAAGGACCAGGGAAGTAAAAGGGTAAAAAAATAAGCCCCCTAACAGGCACCATCAACCTTCCCCCAGGCCTCTGCAGGCTCTTCAGCCTATTGATCTGTTCCACCCTTCCTGGGGTATTGTTGCTTGGTAGCTCTCTAGCAGTTTGCTGACAGGAATTCCTTTCGCCCGTCTGCTCGCTCTTCTTTTAGCCACCCCACCCTCTGCTTCTCAGCCCTTTTATCCTCCCAGCTGCTGTGAGGCTGCCAATCAGCAGTGCCTGTATTAACCCCTTGGTTGTTGGGCCAGCATGGGGTACATACACTCCATGATGGTGGGAGGGAGGAATTAAACATATGAATGCTTCCTGGGAGGGAGGGGCATTAAGGGGCAGAGCAGAGGGGGAGAGGGGTTTTGGGCTGCAGCAAGGGGAGAAGGATAGCTGGAGATGCGTCATAGAGGAGGGGAGAGAGGTTGGGGGTGCAATTGAGTGAGACGTGGGGGTTAGGGGAATTGGAGGGGCGGGATACTGGATTGTTGGGATGAGTGGCATGGGACTGGGGGAGAATACAGATGGGCACCTGTCGGCCCCACATTCTTCCCTCCCATGTGTGTGCCCAAATCTGAAGGGCTCTTGCCCCTGGGGGAGAGGGGGGCTGAGCCCCACCTTTTCCCCTCATGAGCGGAGGTGTGGGAGGCCTTGTTGCTTTGGGGGTACCTGAATCCGTCTCATTGCCCCCTCTGTGAGTGCTAGGATCTAATGGAGCTAGTGCTCATCCAACTTTTTCCCTTTTTGTCCTTTAATAGCATTAGATGGATTCGTGTGGGTGAGAGTGCATGGGCTGCAAAAGCAGGTGAAAGGTTTAAACCTTTCAGCAACTGTGGGGTTGGCAGAGTAAAGGTATGTGTGATAACAGGGCATATTAGAGCATTGCTGAAAGAGGGCACAGTTAAGGTTGCATGGACAACCTTAATTCTACATTTCCTGGTTTTTAGACGTTTGACTTTTGCTCCGCTTAGCATTCTGCAAGGGGATGACATGCCGCCAAGCAATCCTAACTCTGCCTGAATGTAGGTTTTTTGCCGTTGAATTTTATAGAAATCACCCTTATTGCTTCGATCTACCCTGTGTGTGTATTCAGAGTTGGATCTGTTAGTTTAGTGACAACCCCTTTCTTTTTGCTGCATTTCACTTCTGAGATCCCTGCAGAACCAGCCCAGTTCAGAGTGTGAGCTGGCTCCCATTCCTTTGTGTACATCAGGCTTTTGCATACTTAGTTCCAATCAGTTGCACCTGTGCAAAATCACTGAAGATGCTTAAACGCAATAAGAGGACAAGTAGGAAAACTTACAGATGGAGGTATAGAGGTTGCATCTGTGTCAGGAATTTTAGACAAGCCTCCCATTGCAGGTCGAGCATTGGCTAGAGCAATAGTGTAGACAGGGCCATGGGGTTTTAACCAGCCTGTTGTCTAGATCTACCCTGAGCATGGTCAGACAATTCTTTGCTTAAAATGCCAGTGGTCTGTCTGCACTAGTGCTCCAACCCTTGGTATAATTTAATACCAATTATGGGGAAAATTTACCTAAGCCACTCTATGACCAAGGACAGCGAAGTTAGGCGACTTGGCAGAAATCACACAGGAAGTCACCTTCAGATCAGCTTGTGTGAGTTAGTCATTCTAAGTGAGTCAAGGGATTTTTAGAAACTTGGTTTTAGATTTATTAAAAAAAAAAATCCCATCTCAAGCCTTAGGTGCTTTAACACAACATAAAACCCACAATCCATCCAAAACCAGAGAACTAGGATAGGCCAAACTTAGGGACAGATTTAAAGGTCAGAACATGGTCAGCAAACATGCAGCACAGTCACATCGCCTTAGGCTTTTTTGAATATAAAAGTTTAAAATAAATAAAAAAATCACAGGCCCAAACATAAGTGGAATCTCACCCAAACTGAGTTGGCTTGCGTATTTTCAATTACTGGAACCTCGCACCAATGGCAATACTTTTCCTGGGCCAATTGTTTGATGATACTGTCTTGTCTTTCTCTGTTGGAAGAAGCGCAAGATCACTCAACCGTGTCTGTTACAGTGTTGAACACGCATAATTTTTGACACATCTTAATGTGCTCATTTCACATTCAGCGCTAGGCACTCCAATTAGTAGGGTGAGAGTCAACACAATATTTTCATTTCTGGTAAAACATCACCGGGATAACTTGACACTATGAAATTCAAGTAGCTCTGGACTCCAAGGGACAAACTGAATACCTCTGTGTCCTTTGTTTTTCAAGATGAATAATTTTACAATCTCGTAAACCAAGTCTAAAGAAAAATGAGTATTTCCCCATGAGTTTAACAACTTTCTCCTTTGACTCTGCTAAAGTTATATTTTTTAATTCACCTGGGATGGATAAAACCAAATCAAGCAGCTACCTCTTGAATTCCCTCACACTGAGATTTTAGTTCACCGATCATATCCAAGACCTCAAAATATTTCCTTCAATGGTTCTCCTTTGCTTCTAACACACAATTGTGTACAAAATGCATCATACATGCAGAGTACACATCTCTTCCTGTGGCTTGGATAGTTTGTATTTTCATAACCCATTGCTTCCCACCTGGTCTGAGATTTTTACAATTTCCCTCATAATTTTTTTCAGATCTGAGATTGCTGAGCTCATTCACTGTGTTGGAGGACTTGGATCAGGTCAATTTTCTTTGACCGAAAGATTCCAGAGACTGCAGCCATGATAACGAAGATCCTATGGCAGCATAACATACTGAGGTAGAACAGCCAATCCATCGGACATGTTGCTTTTTGCTCAATATATGTCCTCACTACTCCTGCATTCAGCCACAGTTTCATCTTCTCGGCATTCAATAATACTCTAAAAAATTTACTACAGTTGCCTCAATGGCTTTCATTTGAGCTGCCCATCTAGTCTTGCAGAATGCGGTTAGATAGAAAGGTCTCCTTCATTCTTCAGAAGCTACAATTTCAGCTGCTGCATCAATCCTGTCAGCTACTTCAGGGGCCTAAAGTGCATCATCAAGTTCCTCTTCTCTTTGTAAAACTGTACTCTCTCAAGAAGAGTTTGAAGATAAAGATTATTTTTAGACTTAATCATTAGTTTTTCCACATCGATGGCTAGTCTGTGAAATATTTATGTATTTCCTGCAAAGCTGTGAAGAAAATCTTCAGGTCTGGACTGGCCATATCTTCAGAAGCATGAACCAAAACTAGATTAATTTGATGTGCTAGGCAATGGATATATGGTGCACACACTTTGCCTCCCTTGCCTGAAAGATATTCTCTCTTTTTCGCTTGCACTCCTCCACGAGGTCCAGCCATAACACTGGCCCCAACATATCCCTGTCATAAGAACATAAGAATGGCCATACTGGGTCAGACCAAAGGTCAATCTAGCCCAGTATCCTGTCTACCAACAGTGGCCAGTGCCCGGTTCCCCGAGGGAATGAACAGAACAGGTAATCATCAAGTGATCTATCCCTGTCGCCCATTCCTAGCTTCTGGCAAACAGAGGCTAGGGACACCATCCCTGCCCATCCTGGCTAAGAGCCATTGATGGATCTATCCTCCATGAACTTATCTAGTTACTTTCTGATCCAATACTTGTCAAATAAAACTTCAGTTAACTTGTCACACAAGGATGCAGCATCTGCCTTGCTTATTGCCACAAATGCTCTTTTATATCTACTTTTCCTTTGATATGATCAATATTAAAAAAGTGAAGCCATTTGATCGACATGTTTGCATCTGCAATGACAGTAAAAAACGTAGCTTCTTTGCAGCTAGTAAGTATGTGCTTCTTGGTTTCTGAGGCAAAAAGACTTATATGTTCATCTGTAATTTTCTTGCTCAAGTATTTGATTCTCTTGGTGTCATTGATATGTCGGGCAAAAGTTGTATTAAGTCAGGCAGGTAGCTTCATGATAATTAACTAAATGCCACAACAGATGCTCTCCAACACTTCACAGTGGCCGTGAAAAGGGAGACCTAAACTAACTAACATTTTGACTGTGTCATGCAATATTTTTAGTACTTCTTGCAACTTCCTAATATGTTCAGATGCTAGTTTATCAAAACATGCATTGATACTTGTGAAGGGTCAAAACTGTAAAGCTGCCACATGTGACTGCAGAAGTTGTTTGGTCCTCCCATGAACAGCCATTAACTTTAGCATATTCTTCCAATCACTGAAACCTGTTAACCATGCTGATTTTTGAGCTTCTGTATCCCCAAACAATCACCAGATGTGACAGTATGTGTAATCGGAAAGATATGAGCATGCTAAGCCACTTGACATGCAAATCTTCATGCAGTGCTTTTATCATGCTGTAAAATGAAGATGGAAAAATGGCAGCTCGTAGGAAAAACTGAAACTCTCAATTTGGCATATCACACTCAGTGGGCAGGCAAGGACCAATCTGTACAAGCATATGCAACTGCTCCGGTAATAAAACTGAATCGTGAAAGTGACTTATCAGATGGGAACTTCAAACCTATTCCAGCAGGAAGACTGCTTTGACCTGCTCCATTGTTTACCTGCTCATCCACTGAGCTTTTGGTTTTGCTCCTTTCAAGTTCTTCTACAGGGTCTTTGGTTTTACGATCATCGATAGGATCTTTGGCTACGTTGGGCTGTAGCTAATCTACAGGCAGTGGCGGATTAACACATGCCCAGGGGCCCCGGCCAATTCGGGAGCCCCCGCAGGAGCGCCAGAACCTGGGTAGAAGTAGGGGGACGCCACTATCGCCGGAACTGTGGCCCTGCCCCCTGCTCCTCCTCTTCCCCCCCAGAGGCCCTGCCCCCTGGCCAGGCCAGAAGCTGGAGCCGAAAGTGGTAAGAGTTGCCAAGGGAGCTCAGGCCACTGTGGGGTGCCCCAGACCCTGCACCTGCCCTGAGCAGGGGGCCAGAGTGTCCAAGAGCAGCCCCCAGCCCACGTCCCCGCCCACTGGGGCACGCCGCTGCTGGTGGGACCATGGGGCAGGGGCTCTGGTCCAGCCTCCTGCCCCCTCCCCAGGGCCTGCAGACATGCTCTGCGGGGAGAGGAGGCCCTGACTTGGCCTGGGAGGCGGGCGGGAGCCCCGGGAAGGTCACCGGCAGCAAGGAGCTGGGCAGAGAGCTCCTCCAGCCTCCGCGGCCATTGCATTCCACCCAGGCTCGCTCAGTGCCTGCGCCCGGCTCCTTCTGCCAGGCTGCCCCCACTGGGTCCCACTGCTGCCAGGCTGCCTCTGCTGGGTCGCCCTGCTGCCACCTGGGCTTTATGCCCGAGGCAGCAACCACATGCAGCATTGCTCCTCCTGTTGCCTCTGGCCTGAGGCTTGCAGTTTGGGGGGGCAACACCCCCCACCTCCCCCAAACTATACCCATGCAGCCGCTACTTTGTGCCTGCCTGAGGCTACTACGCCTATGTTAAAAAATGGGTGGGCATGGCCCTCTCACTTTTAAAAGGGAGGGGGGTGATGCCTCCCTACTTCCCCCGATTCTGGACACCCTGGGCCCCCAGGGTGTGAGGGGCCCAAATGTTCTTTGTACGCAGGGCCCAATAAATCTTAATCCGCCTCTGAAATGGAGCATGCCCAGTGGCTGCAACCCTGTCAGGATGGGGAAACTCCTGCTACTATCAGCCAGTGCTGGGCATGTGCAATGCTGTGGGATTTGCAAAGGCATTGCATGACAAGTGGGGGCGAGTCCCCTGGGTCTCCTTTAAAACTAGGGTAGCACAATCCATGTAATTGCAACAGCCCTGAGGCAGCGAGAGAAAGGGCCGCTTGCCATGGAGACTCAGTTCCTTGTGAGAGGAAGAGACCCCAGAATCCAGCAGGGCGGGCAGAGGAATAGCTGGTGCAGGTGTGAGTTGCTACGTGCCCTTGCAGATCATGAGAGTTGTGGGGGTTAGTTAATGTTTGCAAGTGCTTTGACGAAGTAAGAAGCGCTCAGCATTGGGTGAAAGGAGGGAGTGCTATTCTCCCCCCCCCGGTTCATCCATCCCTAAATGTCAGGACGCTGATAGCCATTAGAAACGGACCCTGGCCTGTGCATTTCAGGAGAGATGGCTGCCCTCAGCTAGCCTGAGTTTCTGTCGCTTGTTTACAAACTCCCTGGAGGAAAGGGGTGTTCTGGCGCTAGCAGAGAGCCTCGCTGCTGGGACGGGCATACAGCAGCTACCTCTTACCGTCCCGTTGCAAAGAACGTGGTTAAAAGGGGGGAATTACTTGCAGTTCTGTAGCCGAGTCCTCTTGCGGAATGGGACTGTTCCTTCTTCCGGCAGGTTGTCAGTTTGATTTGCAGATGAAGCAGCCAATCCTCTGTCAGCAACCGCTTCTGAAGGCAGCAGCTGACCACTGTTTCAGTTGTAGCCTACCAGAGGGAAAGGAGAAGCTTGCAGGGTGTGGGCTGGAAATGCACCTCTTAAAATGTCGTATATCCGCATAAAGCAAAGCAACCAGACATCTTCTGGTAAACTGGTATGGGGTAGGCTGAGCAATAGTCCATTCCGGGGGAGTCTCTTCCTTACAGTGCTACTTGTAACTTCCCAGCTGGGTGGGAGGATATTTTCTTAGTGATCATTTGGAGTAACATTAAGAAATCGATTAATTTGAGATAAGGGGGGGAAGGCTCCCTGGAGCACTGATGATGACTTCAATATACATCACACACAACAGGATTGCCCAGATGACTTCACTATAAACCACGTGGAACAAGGGATTGCCCAGGCAGTAATACCAAGGGTGAATGTTGCCAGGGCAGTCAGGGCCGTAGCAACAAAGAACGTGGCCCCCTCCGAACATATGTCTGGGCGGGGCCCCTTACAATGCAGAAACTGGAATGCGGTATTTATTTTGCCACTTTTAGGGGCCCCCTTCCTTGCGGGGCCCCCTCCGGTCGGAGGGTACAGAGGGTGCTCGCTACGCCTCTGAGGGCAGTACCTATAGTGGTGTGCTCGTAACTTTATAGATTTTGAAACTCAGACTGAATGCACCCAACGGCAATACTTCCCTCTGCT